GAGGCTGAGGTGGGCGGATCACGAGGTCAATCGATCAAGACCATCCTGGCCAACATGGTGAAACCCTGACTCCACTAAAAATACAAAAAAAGTAGCTGGGCGTGGTAGCGCGCGCCTGTAGTCCCAGCTACTCTGGAGGCTGAGGCAGGAGAATCACTTGAACCCGGAAGGCAGAGGTTGCAATGAGCTGAGATCGCGCCACTGCACTCTAGCCTGGGCCGGGTGACAGAGTGAGGCTCCATCTCAAAAAAAGAATATAAATCCATATCCCTTTTAAGTTTCAAAAAAAGAACATTTTCCATTGTGACTTTTTTTTTTTTTTGAGACAAGAGTTTCACTCTTGTTACCCAGGCTGGAGTGCAATGGCGTGATCTCAGTTCACTGCAACCTCCACCTCCCGGGTTCAAGCGATTCTCTTGCCTCAGCCTCCCGAGTAGCTGGGATTACAGGCATGCGTCACCAAGCCCAGCTAATTATGTATTTTTAGTAGAGACGGGGTTTCTCCATATTGGTCAGGCTGGTCAACTCCCGACCAGGTGATCTGCCCGCCTCAGCCTCCCAAAGTTGCTGGGATTACAGGCGTGAGCCACCGCGCCCGGCCCATTGTGACCTGTTTGCACTTGATATTCTTGTGAATATCAAATAGAATGCTTAACTTATCTGACATATATAATCAGGGATCCCAGTATTTCATATCAATGAATTTTCTTTTTTTATTTGGAGATGGAGTCTCGCTCTGTCGCCTAGGCTGGAGTGCAGTGGCACGATCTCAGCTCACTGCAACTTCCGCCTCCCGGGTTCAAGCGATTCTCCTGCCTCAGCCTCCAGAGTAGTTGGGACCACAGGTGCATGCCACCACACCCGGCTAATTTTTTAATTTTTAGTAGAGACAGGGTTTTATCGTGTTAGCCAGAATGGTCTCGATTTCCTGACCTCGTGATCTGCCTGCCTTGGCCTCTCAAAGAGTTGGGATTACAGGCGTGAGCCACTGTACCCAGCCATAAATGAATTTTCAAGGTGACTTAAGCACCAACACTTTAATGATAATTAAACTGCCATTTTTCTTCCCTTATTACACAGATTACTAAAAGTGATTTTCAACCGTTGTTAGGGTTGTCATGATTATTTTCAGCCGAGATCCCTTCTGTCACACTGCCCTTATACTTTAGCTCTTTCAATTACTCTTCTATCCTCATTCATTTATGCAAATATTTATTGGATACCTACTCCATGCCAGGCACCATTCTGTGCAGCAGTCACAAAGCAAGGAAGTTACCTCATTGGTTAATCATTTTACAACTTTCAAATTGCAGAGTATACCAGGAACAGTTATGTAGCAACAAACTACATATATGTGGAATTTTTTTTTTTTGCTATACATACTTGAAACTATAGATTAAACACTAACTCCCCATTTCCTCTCTCTGTATATACTTTGAATTTTTCCTAGTGTTTGGAGCCATACTCTGTAACAGTCTGAAACTAGTACCTCAATTACCCATGTATCCATGCACTTGAAACTATACCCATTAAATACTAACTCCCCAGCTGGGCACGGTGGCTCATGCCTTAATCCCAACACTTTGGCAGGCCGAGGCCGGCGGATCACAAAGTCAGGAGATCAAGACCATCCTGGCCAACATGGTGAAACTCCATCTCTACTAAAAAAAAAAAAAAAAAAATTAGCTGGGCGTGGTGGCACACGCCTGTAGTCCCAGCTACTCAGAGGCCGAGGCAGGAGAATTGCTTGAACCTAGGAGGTGGAAGCTGCAGTGAGCTGAGATCGTGCCACTATATTCTAGCCTGGACAACAGAGCAAGACTGTCTCAAAAACAAAATAAAACAAACAAAAAACCACCACCACCACAAAAAAAACACTAACTCCCCATTCCTCTATATACACACTTTGAATTTTTCCTAGTGATTGGAGCCATACTTTATAACGGTCTAAAACTAGTACCTCAACTACCCATGTATCCATTCATCCACCTCTAAGGGGTTAATAGGATAGTCATTTTAAACTAATTTTGTGTTGTAAATAATTGAGTATATAACTTTAGTTTTCTTTGTATAATACCATCTTTTTTTTTTTTTTGAGAGTCTTGCTCTGTTGCCCAGGCTGGAGTACAGTGGTGCTCTCTGTTCACTGCTACCTCTGCCTCCCAGGTTCAAGTGATTCTCCTGCCTCAGCCTCCTGAGTAGCGGGGAGTACAGGCACATGCCACCATCCCTGGCTAATTTTTGTATTTTTAGTAGAGACTGGGTTTCACCATGTTGGTCAGGTGAGTCTCAAACTCCTGACCTCAGGTGGATCCACCTGCCTCTGCCCCACAAAGTGCTAGGATTACAGACATAACCCACCACGCCCAGCCCAAAAAGTAATTTTTTTTTGTTTTTTGAGGCGGAGTCTCGCTCTGTCCCCCAGGCTGGAGTGCAGTGGCGTGATCTTGGCTTACTGCAAGCTCCGCCTCCCCGATTCATACCATTGTCCTGCCTCAGCCTCCCAAGTAGCTGGGACTACAGGGGCCCACCACCACGCCTGGCTAATTTTTTGTATTTTTAGTAGAGACAGGGTTTCACCATGTTAGTCAGGATGGTATCGACCTCCTGACCTCGTGATCCACCTGCCTCAGCCTCCCAAAGTGCTGGGATTACAGGCATAAGCCAGCGCACCCAGCCTACTATCTCTCTTAATAAATATTGTCTTCCAGGCCAGGCACGGTGGCTCACGCCTGTAATCCTAGCACTTTCGGAGGCCGAGGTGGGCAGATCACCTGAGGTTGGGAGTTCAAGACCAGCCTGACCAACATGGAGAAACCCCATCTCTACTAAAAATACAAAATTAGCTGGGGTGGTGGCACATGCCTGTAATCCCAGCTACTTGGGAGGCTGAGGCAGGAGAATCGCTTGAACCCGGGAGGTAGAGGTTGTGGTGAGCCGAGATCACGCATTGCACCCCAGCCTGGGCAACAAGTGCGAGACCACGTCTCAAAAACAAAAAAACCTGTCTTCCGGATTGCGGCTAATGTTTTCAGTGTTGATATACTGCTTGTCTTTTAAAGTCAACAATGTTCTATTCAGAACTATAGGTTCTTTTTATTATTAAAGCCAAACCAAACCTTTATTATTAGAGACAGGGTTCTCACTACGTTGTCCAGCTGGAGTGCAGTGGTTATTCACAAGCACAATCATAACATAATAGCACAATGCAGCCTTGAATTCCTGACCTCAAGCAATCGTCCTACCTCAGCGTTCCAAGAAGCTGTGACTATAGGTGCACTCTACTCTGCTTAGCTCCCTAGTCGCAAAATTTATTTAAAATAATTTTTAATAATAAATTTATTATTTAAAAAAGACAAGTCTTTCAAAAAGTAAGCTTTTAAATAAAGATGTCTAGCTGGGCATGGTGGCTCATGCCTGTAATCCCAGCACTGTAGGCGGCTGAGGTGGGAGGATTGCTTTAGCCTGGGAGGCAAGGGTTGGGTGGTCTCTACACCCAGCCTGGGTGACAGAGATCCTGTTTCAAACAGAACAAAAGATGTCTGAGGCTTCAATCCCCTAACACTTTTTGAGACCACTTTAGCCAGGCTGGTCTTGAACTCTTGACCTCAAGTGATCCACCTGCTCAACCTCCCAAACTGCTGGAATTACAGGCATGAGCCACCACGCCTGGCCCTAATGTTTTTTTTTTTCTTTTAGAGATGGAGCCTTACTCTGTTGCCCAGGCTAGAGTGCACTGGTGCGATCTTCGCTCACTGCAACCTCCACCTCCCGGGTTCACACGATTCTCCTGCCTCTGCCTCCTGAGTAGTTGTGATTATAGGTGCGTGCCAACACACCCGGCTAATTTTTGTAGTTTTAGTAGAGACGGGGTTTCACCACGTTGGCCAGTCTGGTCTTGAACTCCTGAGCTCAGGTGATCCGCCCGCCTCAGCCTCCCAAAGTGCTGGGATTACAGACATGAGCCACTGCTCCCAGCCTTTTTTTTAATGAGACGGGAGTCTCACTCTGTCTCTAAGGCTGGAGTGCAGTGGCATGATCTTGGCTCACTGCGACCCCCACCTCCTGGGTTCAAGTGATCCTCCTGCTTCAGCCTCCTGAGTAGCTGGGATTACAGGTGCCCGCCACCACGCCCGGCTAATTTTTTTGTATTTTTAGTAGAGACGGGGTTTCACCGTGTTAGCCAGGATGGTCTCAATCTCCTGACTTCGTGATCTGCCCGCCTCGGCCTCCCAAATGCTGGGATTACAGGTGTTAGCACTGCGCCCGGTCCCCTAACACCTTTTTTATAAAGGTCACTTGAAACACCCTCCTCTTCTTTTACTTTATGGTCATTTAAAAATGTGTGTTTTCTACTGGAATATAGTCAGACTTTTTAAGATATTAGCTACCTACCGGCCAGGCGCGGTGGCTCACACCTGTAATCCCAGCACTTTGGGACGCTGAGGCAGGCAGATCACGAGGTCAGGAGATGGAGACCATCCTAGCTAACACGGTGAAACCTCATCTCTACTAAAAATAGAAAAAATTAGCCAGGCTTGGTGGCGGGCGCCTGTAGCCCCAGTTACTTGGGAGGCTGAGGCAGGAGAATGGCGTGAACCCAGAAGGCGGAGGTTGCAGTAAGTCAAGATCATGCCACTGCACTCCAGCCTGGGCAACAGAGCGAGACTCTTGTCTCAAAAAAAAAAAAAAAAAAAAAAGAAATACTAGCTACCTATCTTTCCTTCAGCATGGTGCTAGTACTGAATATTCTCAGTATTTACAACTTGGTCTCCTCCAAAAGAGAAGAAAAACAAGGGTTTTAAAAGAACCAAAGAAAAGACAAGAAATAACATTCTGGTGTAAGAAAAAATATTTTTAAAAATGAGAAACATTGGGAAATTAAAACTCAGGATGGGTAAACTTTCATATAAATATGCACTGGGGGGATGTGAGGGAAAAGGACCAGTTCCTCAATCAATCATATTTTTCCATTATACCACAATAAAGAGACAATCCCATTTTCAAAGAAATTAGCTTTTATTTGAGACTACTTTTCCCCACATGTATCTTTCAAGAATTCTATGCTATATGATAACCTGCTTATCCACTGTCCCAATACCAGAATTTCTAACAGCAAATTATACAACTGCTGTAGGTAATAAATAAGGGTTGTCCTTCACTGATTAAGGGACTAAACTTCAATAAATTTAACAATAACAACAAAAAAATCACACTTTAGTTTTTAAGTTTTAACAGATGTATTTCAAATACAGCATGTTTTACAGGAGTTCACAAACTTTCCATCTCTAAAAAAAAACTTTCAACTACTTGACTGTTCCATTCCACCCCAGACAATCCTGACACGACTGAACTACTTCATGTGTTACTTTCCTGAAAATAAAGTTAAAAAAAGGAGTTCATGATAAATGCAGATCTCTAATACAGTATCTAACACAAAATAAGCTTTAAAAAGACAGTTTCTTTCCTTATTTGATTAGTTAGAAGTTTAGGTAAAAGCAAAAAAAAAAAAAAAAAAAAAATTTACAAAGCATAACATTGGGGTTCTTTTTATACTCAAGATGTTTAACTGCTCAAAATGACAACAATTACATCTTTAAGAGTATAATTAAAAGGGGTGGAAAACAGCAACACAATTGACAAAAGTGTAGATGCTAAATCAACGATTTTTTTTCTTAAGGAGTAGGAAGAATCCAAAGCTTGGGGAAGTCTCAGGAAAAAAAAAAAAAAAGAAAGAAAACAAAGAGGAAAAAAATGTCCTTAATTGCAACCATTCCGTTATCAATAGCGTCCTAAAAGAGAAAAAGCAAAAAAAAAAAAAAAAAAAAAAAGAACAAGTTAACAATTATAGTTTAATTTGCCTAATATTTTTCCAACTATTAACTGCCACCTTCCACCTTATACTCTAATATTCTAAAGTAAGCCATTAATTAGAAATGAGGTTTTTAATGCTACAAAAGCAAAGTTCACATACTTGGGCTGTAGGAACGAGATCTTGATCGTGATCTGTATCGACTATAATAAGGAGAAGGTGATCGTCTTCTGTAAGAAATGAAAGATTACTTAGCATACTATATAATCACTCCACTGAGGCCGATGAAAATAAAAATTCCTCATCATTCAAAATAATAATGTACCTAAGGTGATAACTACTTAATATTAAGTTCTCTTTGTGCCAATGAGACCAGAAAAGTAAAGAGCACAACAAAATACTGGCATATACAGATTGCTAACTTCTGTTCCCAAAGCGTCATATATGATCTATTTTAAAAATCAAGTTTTTATTCATATGTATCAAACATAAAAGTGCCAAACACTACTATCATCTAATTTAGAACAGAAAGCTCAAGTTAAAACATTACCTGTACCGGTAATCATAGTCTTCATATCTGTCATACCCACGATCATATCCTCTATCATAGTAAGAATCTCGACGTCTGCCACCACCTCCACCTCCACCACCACCTCCTCCTCCACCACCACCACCACTACTGCAGAAAAATGTAAAAATCCTGCATTAGTGTGAATGACTATTTTCCAGGACACTTTAATAGAAATTGAATGCCTTAAAAAAGAGAAAAGTGAGAAAGAACATCCCTTTCATCAGAAATTGCCTCCGTATCTCATTTTAGTGACTCCCATGGTATTCTGCTTTGCCTTATTCACTACATACATAACCAAGAAGGACTTCACAAAACTCTCAAAACTATTAACTGCTCTTCTATTAATGCACTGCCCAAATCATCAAAACCTTTTCAACAAATTGAAACGATGAAACACTGTGTTGAGCAGCAGTATAAAAATGCTAATATGCATCCCTACTGCTAAATGAGACTGGTAAAATAAATAAATGAATAAAAGGTGTATCCCTGTGACTAAAAGGCAATAAACACCAAGAATTTTAAAGTAACTAACTCTGGACACCAAAGAGAATACCAAGGAATGACTATATTCCTTCTTTTATTCCCAAGAAATACCTCTGTGAATACTGCCTTTGGTTGTATATTTTATTTTTATTTTTTGAGACAGAATCTTGCTCTGTCACCTAGGCTGGAGTGTATTGGTACGATCTCAGCTCACTGCAAGCCCTGCCTCCCGGGTTTACACCATTCTGCCTCAGCCTCCCAAGTAGCTGGGACTACAGGCACCCGCCACCACGCCTGGCTAATTTTCATATTTTTAGTAGAGACGGGGTTCCACCGTGGTCCCAACCTCCTGACCTCATGATCCACCCGTCTCGGCCTCCCAAAGTGTTGGGATTACAGGTGTGAGCCACTGCGCCTGGCCAATGAACATCACAAGCCAGCCAGGAGGGTTGTATATTTAAAAACATTATCAAAACCCCTGCTTACGTTTTTTGTTTTTGTTTTTAGAAAGAATCTCACTCTGTCGCCAAGGCTCACTGCAACCTCCGCCTCCCAGGTTCAAGTGATTCTTGTGCCTCAGCTCCCGAGTAGCTGGGATTACAGGTGTGTGCCACCACACCTGGCTAATTTTTGTATTTTTCTTTTAGTAGAAGCAGGGTTTTGCCACGTTGCCCAAGATGGATTTGAACTCCTGGCCTCAAGTGATCTGCCTGCCTCGGCCTCCCAAAGTGCTGGGATTACAAGTGTGAGCCACTACACATCAGGATGGGGTACCGTGGCTCATGCCTATAATCTCAGCACTTTGGGAAGTCAAGGTGGGTGAATTCCTTGAGCCCAGGTGTTCAAGACCCACCCAGGCAATGTAATGAGACCTCTTGCTCTAAGAGAGTCCTTCTCTCTTTAAAACAAAAAAATTAGCATGGCGGCATGCACATGTAGTCCCAGCTACTTCAGAGGCTGAGGTGGGAGGATTGCTTTGGCCCAGGAAGAAGATGCAGTGAGCCAAGGTTGCTCACAAGGTGCTACAGATTCTTTTTATAACCTACCTCCAATTTTATTCTTTAGCTTATGAGGCGCAACCTCAGTTCACTGCAAACTCTGCTTCCCAGGTTGAAGCAATCCTCCCACCTCAGCCTCCTGAGTAGCTAGGACTACAGGTACATGCCACCATGCCTAGCTAATTTTTGTATGTTTTAAGGAGAGATGGGATTTCACCATGTTGTACAGGCTGGTCATAAACTCCTGGGCTCAAGTGATCCACCCACCTTGGCCTCCCAGTGCTGGGATTACAGGTGTTGAGCCACTGTGCCTGGCCTACTGTGGCATCTTTTAATATTTTTAACAAATGCTAAAATCAATAAAATCTGTCTTAAACACAGAGACTTCCCCAAATCACATAAGAACAAAAAGAGAATCAATATTTAAACAGCCTATGATATTTTTCTAGTATTCAGTAATTTTTCTGCTTGTACAGTACAAAGAGCTCAGCCAGGCTGGGGGGAAAAAAAAGCCAGGATGCACTTTTGATAGTTTTAATCTATCCTGTTGCTCAAACATATGTATGTAAAAATAAAAAGACTGGCTGAGGCAGGTGGATTGCTTGAGCCCAGGAGTTCAAGACCAGCCTGTACAACATAGTGAAATCTTACCTCTGAAATACACAAAAAACAATGTATTTAACTTTCAACTCTCTCCTGGCATGGTGGCTCATACCTGCAATCCTACACTTTGGGAGGCCAAGGCGGGCAGATCACTTCAGCCCAGGATTTCAAGACCAGCCTGGGCAACAAGGCAAAATCCCACATGGCAAAACCCCATCTCTACAAAAAATACAAAAATTAGCTGGACGTGGTGGCACGTGCCTGTAGTCCCAGCTACTCAGGAGGCTGAGGTGGGAGGACTGCTTGACCCAGGAAGCAGAGGTTGCAGTGAGCTGAGATGGCGCCACAGTAGCCCAGCCTGGGTCACAGAGTGAGACCATGTCTCAAACCCACACCCTTGCCAAAATCAATTCTAATTATAGGAAAAAAGTTTTTCTGAGTAATCAAAATTTTGCACATATTTCTGGTGGATTTCATAGTTTAGCTTAGGAAACTTGAACTCTTACTGAGTTGGTCTGCCCATGTAGATGCCTGGTGTTGGTGTGTGTGCTCTCTTGGTGATAGAATAATCCACCCGAATTCTTCTACCATCCAGCTCCATTCCATTTGCCCTTTCCATAGCCTAGAAAGAACAGGCACAGAAAGTCACATATAATTCACCAGTCTTGAAGTAATCATTACTTAAAGTTAAGCACAAAGTATTTGTAATCCAAATAAACTCCTGATTTTGAAAATGACAGCAATGTAGCTTGTACAGGGCACTGTATAGACAATTCTAGACCTCAACAATGTCCAGAACACATTTTAATATACTCAGCAGAAAGAATAGTTAATAAACTTTCCCAAATAATTTTCCAGTTCTGGTTCAATTCCCATTCCCCACTCCATGAGATCAACAAACAGTAGTTAATAAACTTTCCCAAATAATTTTCCAGTTTTGGTTCAATTCCCATTCCCCATTCTATGAGATCAACAGGGGAGCGGAGACTGAAGTCTTTTCAAGCTAATTTTGTAGGTTGCCCAGGTAGACTGCCATTTCATACTTTCTAGTTTCCGGCGATTTCACTTATAAAAACTGACTTCAGAACATTAAAAAGGGTTTGCTAAGCTTTATACAGGTTCTTTTTATAATCTGCCCCCAATCTTATTCTTTAGTTTGCAGTGTAGTATACTGACAAGACTCAGTGAGCAGTCAAGAAATGATGATATAAATAGACAAGAACAAATTTATGGTAATGCCTTTCAGCCTTTTACTGAGACTGAACTAATAAAAGTATAATAAACTAATAAAAGCTACACAATTTTTATGTATCCACAAATATTTCTCTGTAAGAGTGCCCTATAAACTAAATGTCATTAAAAAACAAAACAAAAGAAAAGACAAGGTCTCACTCCGTTGCCCAAGCTGGCAGTGACAAGATCATAGTTTACTGTGGCCTCAAACTTCTCGGCTTATGCAATCCTCCAGCCTTAGTCTCCTAAGTAGCTAGAACCACAAGGTTTGTGCCACCATGCTTGGCTAATTAAAACAAAAATTATTGGTAGAGAAGGGGTCTAAACAGTATTCCATTCAATGGATTGCATTTTATTATTTATTTATGAGAACAAGTTTCGCTCTTGTTGCACAGGCTGGAGTGCAATGGCGTGACCTCGGCTCACTGCAGCCTCGGCCTCCTGGGTTGAAGTGATTCTCCTGCCTCAGCCTCCCAAGTAGCTGGGATTACAGGCATGCGCCACCATGCCCAGCTAATTTTTTGTATTTTTAGTAGAGACGGGGTTTCACCATGTTGGCCAGGATGGTCTCGATCTCTTGACCTCGTGATCCGCCCGCCTCGGCCTTCCAAAGTGCTGGGATTACAGGCATAAGCCACCACACCCAGCCTGCAAGCATTTATTTTTGTAGAGACAAGATCTGGATATGTTGCCCAGGCTAGTCTCTTAACTCATGGCCTCAAGTGGCCTTCCCACTTCAGCCTCCCAAATTGCATGAGCCACCTTGCACAGCCTAATTCTTGAAGATCAAGAGATGTCTCTTTGAAAAGAACTCTTTAGAGTATTATTTGTTTCTGGAACAATTTTTTTCCTATTCTCTCACACACACACATATATATTTGTAGAGACCAAGTCTCCCTATGTTTCCCCAGGCTGGTCTCAAACTCCCGGGCTCAAGTAATCCTCCTGCCAAAGTGCTAGGATTAGAAGCATGAGCCACCACACCCGGTTCAATTTTTAAAAAGAACTTTACATCACATAAATGTCTGTAAAAGCAAAGCTGCAAAAATTTAACACATTTTCCATTTGAAGTTCCAAAAATCAATGTTGATCTCCCCTCATCCCATCCTAAGCACTGCCCCCAAAAACACACACAAAACCTCTAAGTACTTCTTACTAAAACAAGGTGAGGAGCTTATATTATTATCTTCACCACATGCACTCTAACAACTTTGACACTTCAGTGAAATTTTCAGAATCAGGGAGAAGTTAGTTAATAAGGGATACAAATTTTAAAAAGATTTTAAAAATCACTTTAGGCTGGGCGTGATAGCTCACACCTGTAATCCCAACACTTTGGGAGGCCAAGATGGACGGATCATGAGGTGTCAGGATTTAGACCATCCTGGCCAACATGGTGAAACCCCATCTCTACTAAAAATACAAAAATTAGCTGGGTGTGGTGGCGTGCGCCTGCAGTCCCAGCTACTCAGGAGGCTGAGACAGGAGAATTGCTTGAACCCGGGAGGTGGAGGCTGCAGTGAGCCGAGATTGTGCCACTGCCCTCCAGCCTGGCAACAGAGCAAGACTCTGTCTCCAAAAAAAAAAAAAAAAAAAAAAATCACTTTAGCCAACTGCAGTGGCTCATGCCTGTAATCCTGGCACTTTGGGGAGGTCAAGGAGGGCAGATCACTTGAGGTCCAGAGTTTGAGGCTAGCCTGGGCAATGGGGCAAAACCCTGTCTCTACCAAAAAATACAAAAATTAGCCGGGCATGGTGGTGTGCACCGGGGTTGTCCCAGCTACTCTGGAGGCTGAGGTGGGAGGATCACTTAAGCCTGGGAGGCGAAAGTTGCAGTGAGCTGAGATCGTGCCATCACACTCCAGCCTAGGCGACAGGGCAAAGAGCAAGAACTCATCACAAAAAAAAAAAAAAAAAAAAAACCCAAAAAAAAACCAGAAACAAGAAAAAAATCAAATCACTTCAGATTGCCTGTCCCTAAAGACTGGAGGCAGTCTTAGCCATAGAGAAGAAACCATACAACATGCCTGTGTTAGCTGAGGATTCAGCCTAGGCAACTGAAAAGAGAAACTGCGATTTAGCTGACAAGCCTAGTCAACCCAATCCTTAAGTAACACATTGTCACCTAGTGAACTAAAAGGAACTTCTAAACCTGCCACTAAGTAACTGCTCCTGTCTTTAAAGTTGCCATTTAAGCTTTTTTTTTTCTTCTCTTTGAGATGGAGTGGAGTCTTGCTCTGTTGCCCAGGCTGGAGTGAAGTGGCACGAATTTGTCTCACTGCAACCTCTGCCTCCCAGGTTCAAGCAATTCTCCTGCCTCAGCCTCCCGAGTAGCTGGGATTACAGGCACATGCCACCATGCCCGGCTAATTTGTGTACTTTAGTAGAGACGGGGTTTCACTGTGTTGGCCAGGCTGGTCTTGAACTCCTGACCTCAGGTGATCCACCCACCTCAGCCTCCTCAAATGCTGGGATTACAAGGTGCGAGCCACTACGCCCGGCCTGCCATTTTAGCTTTATCCAGAAGTGGAAGGGGGAGAGGTGGAATCAAGCGATAAACATGTTTCATATTAAAAAATAGTAAGAAGAAAAAAACTGTTCTGGCTTGCACTTTGCAACTTTTACTTCAGCTCAGATATCCTAGTATTTCTAAATTGATACCTTTATCTCTTGAGAAAAGAAATATATATAAATCACAAATATGTAACAGTAAAAAAAAAAAAGTCATAATACTGACAAATTAAGGCATTAAACTGCCTGTGACATAAATGATTAAAAACTGAAGCACTAGCCGAGATTGCGCCACTGCACTCCAGCCTGGGCGACAGAGTGAGACTCTGTCTCAAAAAAAAATAAAAAATAAAAAATAAAAAAAGGCCTGATTATTAATAGAACTTCTAGATATATACAAATATATATATATATTTTAATTTAGAAGACAGAAGGCCTAATAAAACTAAAAGTATTGAGCTTCAAATTCCTTAAAATGCAATTTTATAAATCAATTACTATCAACTTTTAGTAAAGAGTAAGCGAGCCTAGGCCAGGTATAGCAGCTCACATCAGTAATCCTAGCACCTTGGGAGGCCACGGCAGCAGGAACAGTTGAGGCCAGGAGGAGTTCCGAGACCAGCCTAAGCGACACAGCAAGACTCCCTGCAAAAACTTAAAGCAAGCCTAACACTTCGTTTATAATACCTAATGTGTTAGAATAGCACTATTTCAAATCATTGACATTGATTAGTTCATTGTGTTAGACAAGAATAGCATTAAAAAATTATCAATTCTTTCCTTGTAGTATTTTTCAATTATGGAACAGACTGATACATGAACATTTAGAGAACAGAAAAACAAAGTTCCTTCCTCGTTATAGACACAAAATTAAACATATCAAACCTAAACATCCCAGAATTATTTTTAAAGTTAACGTAATCACCTATTTGGAGCATCATTATGGCTTATTCAAAAGAGAACACTTACACATATATACTTTTTCCATTAACTTTTAACTTTTTCCATTAACTTTACACAGCCAGATTTCAATTAGGATATGCCTATACCAGAGAGCATAACTGAAAAAAGTGAAACTGTGGTCACTCCAACTGTTAACACTGAGAGGCAGAGTTTGAATCAGGTCAAAATTAGAAAGGACACAACAGACCACATATGATGGCTCATGCCTGTAAAACCAGCACTCTGGGAGGATCACCTGAGGCCAGGAGTTCAAGATCAGCCTGGGTAACATAGTGAGACCTCATCTCTACAACAAGAAATTATCTGGGCATGGTGGCCCACGTTTGTAGTCCCTGCTACTCAGGAGGCTGAGGTGGGAGGACTGCTTGAGCCCAGGAGGTCAAGGCTGCACTCCAGCCTGGGCAACAAAGCAAAATCAGCAAGATCCTATCTTTTATTTTTTTGAGACGGAGTCTCGCTCTGTCGCTAATCAATGTCAATGATTTGAAATAGTGCTATTCTAACATATTAGGTGTTATAAAGGAAGTGGTAGGCTTGCTTTAAGTTTTTGCAGGGAGTCTTGCTGTGTCGCTTAGGCTGGTCTCGGAACTCCTCCTGGCCTCAACTGTTCCTGCTGCCGTGGCCTCCCAAGGTGCTAGGATTACTGATGTGAGCTGCTATACCTGGCCTAGGCTCGCTTACTCTTTACTAAAAGTTGATAGTAATTGATTTATAAAATTGCATTTTAAGGAGTTTGAAGCTTAATACTTTTAGTTTTATTAGACCTTCTGTCTTCTAAATTAAAAAATATATATATATATTTGTATATATCTAGAAGTTCTATTAATAATCAGGCTCTCCTTCTCTCTCTTTTTTTTTGAGAGAGTCTCACTCTGTTGCCCAGGCTGGAGTGCAGTGGTGTGATCTCGGCTCACTGCAAGCTCTGCCTCCTGGGTTCGCGCCATTCTCCTGCCTCAGCCTCCTGAGTAGCTGGGACTACAGGTGCCCGCCACCACGCCCAGCTAATTTTTTGTATTTTTAGGAGAGTCGGGGTTTCACCGTGTTGGCCAGGATGGTCTCGACCTCCTGACCTCATGATCCGCCCGCCTCGGCCTCCCAAAGTGGTGGGATTACAGGCCTGAGTCACCGCACCCAGCCGCAATATCCTATCTTAAAAAATAAATAAATAAGAAATAAAGAAAAAGGGATGCAATGTTTACAGAAACAAAAGTCTGTTAATCAACTTTTCACACTAATTCAGTACTATAATCAGGCATATAAAAGACAAATTTACCTCCTTTGAGTCATCTATTCTCTCAAAATACACAAATGCAAATCCTCGAGATCGTCCAGTTCGCTGATCATAAACCACATTGACACCACTCAATGGTCCATATCGAGAAAATACTTCACGAAGATCTCTCTCTGTTGTGTACAAACTGAGGCCAAACACTCCAAGGCAAGTGTTGGGATCTGGATTTGCCTATTGAATAAAAACATTATTTAAAACTCCAAATTTAAATCAAAATTAAAGAAACAGAAATACTTTGTTTAGAACACCTCATCTAATACACAAAAAATATATTGTTTCTAGTAATTTAGAGGTAAGATTTTAAGAAAACTAGAGCAGATGAGCCGTATTTTACAATTCACAGTACACCCAAGGACTTCTTTGGGATATGCTTTCTGTCTATTGCCTGAATTAAAATGTTCTTACTCTCCAGCCCAGCAACGTTCATAATGTATCCTAAAAATCCTGTAATCCCAGCACTTCGGGAGGCTGAGGCGGGTGGATCACCTGAGGTTAGGAGTTTGACACCAGCCTGGCCAACACGGTGAAACCCCATCTCTACTAAAAATACAAAAATTAGCCGGGCATGTTGGCAGGTGCCTGTAATCCCAGCTACTCCAGAGGCTGAGGCAGGAGAATCGCTTGAATCCTGGAGGTGGAGGTTGCAGTGAGCCAAGATCGCGCCATCGCACTCCAGCCTAGGTGACAAGTGTGTTAGAAATGTTTGTTTCTCGGTGTTGTAAAGAAGTACCACTTGAACATACATTTTTTTAGTAAGGCCATTTTTATTTTCTGGAGAAAGGGTACACTTGTCAGCAGTTTTGTTACAAGAGTACACTGAACAAAGGAAACAGGGTCATTTATAATCTGATATGTCTACCTTACTGTTGTGTCTGTTTTTTATTGGTTGGAACGGGACTTCACATTCTGTATTTGTCTTGATTGGCTAGTAACTTAGAACTTTTTAAAAGAGGCAAAGGCAGGAGAACAAAGGAAGGAGGAAGTAACTTATGGAATGTTGAGAAAGGTAAAAACACCTTTAAATAAAGAAGAGGAACAGGCTATGACCTAATGCTTATTTGGACCTGTACAAGCATGTTAGGGCAAATATTTAGGCTAAATTGTGGGAGCTAAGAACATAAAGTACATTGATTTTTTTTTTTATTACGGCTAGTACTTTTTTTTTTTGAGACGGAGTTTCACTCTTGTTGCCCAGGCTGGAGTGCAATGGTGCGATCTCGGCTCACCGCAACCTCCCAAGCAGCTACACCCATTCACAGTATACACTACCCATTACAGGCATGCACTACCACCCCCAGCTAATTTTGTATTTTTTGGTAGAGATGCGGTTTCTCCATGCTGGTTAGCCTGGTCTCGAACTCCCAACCTCAGGTGATCCACCCACCTTGACCGCCCAAAGTGCTGGGATTATGGGCGTGAGTCACCGCACCTGGCCTAGCAGATATTTAAGAATGTTAGCACAGGTCTTTGAACAAATTTTGCTTCTAAGAGAAGTTATTATTTATTTCTAATTAGATGGGGAGGAAAATCTCTTTGAAGAGGAATCTTTACTTTTTACAAGAGCGAAACTCCATCTCAAAAAAAAAGTTTAATACCATCTTTCTTGTTTATTCAAATGCTTTACATCCCTTACAGATTTGTACTTAATCTGACTTCATCTGTAATTGTTGATTTAGACCCCTTCTCCTCCATTTTCTTATTTTTTTCCATGAGACAGGGTCTCACTCTGTTGCCTAGGCTGGAGTTTAGTGGCCCGATTACGGCTCACTGCAGCCTTGGCTTCCTTGGGCTCAGGGAATCCTCCCATCTCAGCCTCCCAAGTAGTTGGGATTACAGGCATAAGCCAATATGCCTGGCCCATTTTCACTTTTTAGCAAGGATATTCTTTCAGTGTTCCCACAATCCAGATTTTAGAAATAAATTTACAGATTTCAAAACATTAAATAACGACATGCTCCACCAGTTTAAGTTAGTATCCTGTGGGAGAAGTATAGCACGGCATGCAAACATGCTCTAAAAACTTCAGAGTTCCGCTGCCTGGTTGAAATCTAGACTGCCAGTTAGCAAAAACTAAACCAAAACCAAAAGTCCTTCAATGTCATATATCCAAGACTCAATAACTTGCCTCACAGAAATATTAAGAGCTTGAAGTGTACTGAATAAAAGTGTTAGCTATGATTACTAAAAAGTTTTTAGTATTTCTTCGACCCCCTTACTCCATCAAAAACTCTGAACATATCCCAGTATTCCCAACTCAGTTTATGCTTTTCACTTGAATTCTTGGAACACATTTCTTCCCAAATATCATCTCCTTTATTTGTTGAGACAGAGTCTCACTCTGTCGCCAAGGCCAGTCTGGAATGCAGTGGCACAATCTCGGCTTGCTGCAATCTCCACTTCCTGGGTTCAAGGGATTCTCCAGCCTCAGCCTCTCAAGTAGTTGGGATTACAGGCGTAAGCCACCACGCCTGGCTAAATCTTGTATTTTTAGCAGAGATGGGGTTTCACCATGTTGGCCAGGCTGGTCTCGAACTCCTGACCTCAGGAGTGAGGTCACCCGCTTTGGCCTCCTAAAGTGCAGGGATTACAGGTGTGAGTCACCGTGCCCAGCCTTCATCTCCTTTTTACTCAAAAGTCATGAAAAAAAAAATATACTCCCAGCCAGGCACGGGAGCTCATGCCTGCAACCCCAGCACTTTGGGAGGCCAAGACAGGTGGATCACCTGAAGTCAGGAGTTCGAGACCCAGACTGGCCAACATGGTGAAACCCCATCTCTAAAAATACAAAAATTAGCTGGGTGTGGTGGCGCACACCTGCAATCCCAGCTATTCGCGAGGCTAAGGCCGCAGTGAGTCGAAATTGCACCCCTGCACTCCAGCTGGGGAGAAAAAATACAAAAATTAGCTGGGTGTGGTGGCGCACACCTGCAATCCCAGCTATTCGCGAGGCTAAGGCCGCAGTGAGTCGAAATTGCACCCCTGCACTCCAGCTGGGGAGACATAGTAAGACTCTGTCTCAAAAAAAGAAAATATACTCCCTTTGCATTCTTTGTCATAAAACATGTAAGCTTATGAAAGATGGTGGTATTTCCTTTATTTTGAAAGCTAAAGCAGCTTATTAAGGATGTTTCCAGAGTATCACTTCTAAACAATGGCCAAGCTCTCCTAAAAGCAAGACATGCTATGACTAAACACAGGAAAGAGAAAATAAGTCATTAACTTTTATAAACCACATACCCTGCTGCCAGTATGTCTTCTCCGGTTAGACATTGGAGAATGGCTTCGGCTCCTTCGCCGCCGGTATTCTGGTGTGTATGATCGACTTCGAGATCGTCTCCTATGAGAGTGAGAGTGGGATCTGGATCGAGTGTAACGTCTATGAGAATGCCTCCTTGACCTCGACCTTTGAGAGAAATACATTTAGGTAAAAATATTGAAACAAAATGGCTAACATCCTTCCCTCTTCCAAGGAAGTATACATGTATTCCTAACTATTCTGAAGTCCTTCCTCCTTGTTTCTGAGGAAAGGGTATTCTTCCTCCAGTTCACTTAAGTCACCACATCTTCCACTTTGTTCTCAGTCAAGCCCCTCTACATTCACCCTTTTCACCTAACCTTACAAAAACGTTAAGGCCCCATCTTCTTTAAAAAAAAAAAAAGGGGGGGCCGGGTGCGGTGGCTCAAGCCTGTAATCCCAGCACTTTGGGAGGCCGAGATGAGCGGATCAGGAGATCGAGACCATCCTGGCTAACACGGTGAAACCCTGTCTCTACTAAAAAATACAAAAAAACTAGCCAGGCGAGGTGGCGGGCGCCTATAGTCCCAGCTACTCGGGAGGCTGAGACAGGAGAATGGCATAAACCTGGGAGGCGGAGCTTGCAGTGAGCTGAGATCCGGCCACTGCACTCCAGCCCAGGCAACAGAGCGAGACTCAAAAAAAACAAAAACAACAAAAACCAAAAAACAAAAACCCAACTATTGCTGTAAAATAAAATCCTGGCTGGGTGCAGTGGCTCATGCCTGTAATCCCAGCACTCTGGGAGGCCGAGGCGGGTAGATCACAAGGTCAAGAGATCAAGACCATCCTGGCCAACATGTTGAAACCTCGTCTCTACTAAAAATACAAAAATTAGCCAGGCGTGGAATGGCGGGCACCTGTAATTCCAGCTACTTGGGAGGCTGAGGCAGAAGAATCGCTTGAACCCAGGAGGCGGAGGTTGGAGTGAGCCAAGATCATGCCACCGCACTCCAGCATGGTGACAGAGCGAGACTCCGTCTCAAAATAAATAAATAAATAAAATCATTCGATTCTTAGTTAAGTGCAGTGGCGTGTGCTTATGTTCCCAGCTACATGAAAGATGAAGCAAGAAAAATCACTTGGGCCCAGGAGGACAAGTCTAGCCCAGGCAACACATCAAGACTCCACACTTCTATTTAAAAACAAAAATAAACAAACAAAAAAACAGGCTGGGCGCGGAGGCTCATGCCTGTAATCCCAGCACTTTGGGAAGCCGAGGAAGGCAGATCATAAAGTCAAGAGATCAAGACCATCCTGGCCAACATGGTGAAACCCCGTCTCTACTAAAAACACAAAAATTAGCTGGGCGTGGTGGACCGCGCCTGTCATCCCAGCTACTCAGGAGGCTGAGGCTGGAGAATCGCTTGAACCCGGGAGGTGGAGGCTGCAGTGAGCTGAAATCGTGCTACTGCACTCCAGCCTGGGCAACAAGAGCGAAACTCCATCTCAAAAAACAAACAAACAAACAAAATCCTTTTTGATTTTCTGCTACTTTCTCCATATAGTTCTTTGTCGCCCAGGCTGGAGTGTAGCGGTGTGATCTCAGGTCACTGCAGCCTCTCTTTCCCGGGCTCAAGAAATTCTCCCACCTCAGCTTCCCAAAGAGCTGCACCACCATGCCTGGCTAATTTTTATATTTTTCCGGGTTTTGCCATGTTGCCCAGACTGGTCTTGAAGTCCTGGGTTCAAGCAATTTGACCATCTCGGCCTCCCCAGTTAAGCCAGTGTGCTTGGCCCATAAAGTTCTACATTCCCCTCACTGCTAAGTATCATTTCCATTTCCCATCCTTCTTTAGCCTGCTGCAATTCAGCATCTGCTAAACTAATTCAACCACCACCTAAATGCCCATCAAAACTGATAACTTTTCTTTTCTTTTTTTTTTTTTTGAGACAATCTCACTTCTTTACCCAGGCTGGATTGCAATGGCATGTCTCAGCTCACTGCAACCTCCACCCCCCAGGTTCAAGTGATTCTCCTACCTCAGCCTCCCGAGTAGCTGGATTACAGGCACTTGCCAGCATGCCCGGCTAATTTTTGTATTTTTAGTAGAGATGGGGTTTCACCATGTTGGCCAGATTGGTCTCGAACTCCTGACCTTGTGATCCACCCACCTCAGCCTCCCAAAGTGCCGGGACTACAGGTGTGAGCCACTGTGTCCGGCCCAAAACTGCTAACATTTCTGAGTCTTCATGTTTTTTTTTTTTCCTTGAGACAGACTCTCGTTCTGTAACCCAGACTGGAGTGTGCAATGGCCTGATCTTGGCTCACTGCAACCTCTACTTCCTGGGTTCAAGTGATTCTCCTGCCTCAGCCTCCTGAGGAACTACAGGCCTGTGCCACTACACCTGGCAAATATTTTGTATTTTTAGTAGAGACAGAGTCTCAACATGTTGGCCAGGCTGCTCTCAAACTCCGGACCTCAAGTGATCCACCCCTCCTTGTGCTCCCAAAGTGCTGGGGTTATAGGCATGAGCCACCACACTCAGCCTAAGCCTTTACTTATTGATACTTTCTATAACATCTCACTTGTCTACTGCTGCTTTTCTAGTTCATCTCCTCTAATTCCCAGTTGCTTGCAGTCCTTTCTTTGCCTGTAAGACTAATCCAACAGGCCGGGCACAGTGGCTCAGCCTATAATCCCAGCACTTTGGGAGGCCAAGGCAGGCAGATCACAAGGTAAGGAGATCAAGACCATCCTGGCCAACATGATAAAACCCTGTCTCTATTAAAAATACAAAAAATTAGCTGGGTGTGGTGGCCCATGCCTGTAATCCCAGCTACTTGGGAGGCTGAGGCAAGAGAATCACTTGAACCCGGGAGGCAGATGTTGCAGTAAGCTGAGATCAGGCCACTGTACTCCAGCCTGGCAACAGAGTGAGACTCCGTCTTAAAAAAAAAAAAACTAATTCAACAAATTCTTACCCACCATTCATATGACCCACCCTTAACTGACACAGACCAGCAGTGATGACAGTCATATAAAATACCTTCTATATGGTATTCAATGAACCCAGGAGGTGGAGGTTGCAGTGAGCTGAGATCACACCACTGCACTCCAGCCTGGGCAACAGAGTAAGACTCCATCTCAAACAAAACAAAACAAAACAAAACAAAACTCTTCAAGAGTCTCTACTTTTTTTCAGCTCAATAATAACCCATTGTTAATACGGCTAACTGTCCTCAGTAATTCCCTACTTGAACCAGATCACCAATTTTCTGTTAAGTAATCAAGCAAAAATTTTTTGCATGATTTTACAAAGTGAGGATATGGAATACAGGAATAAAACTAGAGGGAAGACCTTATGAAACACAATAGGTGAATAATAACACTAGCAGAGTTGATATTTCCCATTTTAGCTAGCACCAATTTACAGTTCCAAATTTTAAAATGAAGAAAAAAAAAAAAAGTAAGAAAACCCTTAATTTAACATCAATTATTACTTTTAAACAGCAATGAAAGTGAGACAATAAAACTCTTCCAGCCAGGCGCAGTGGCTCACGCCTGTAATCCCAACACTTTGGGAGGCCGAGGTGGGCGGATCACCTGAGGTCCAGAGTACGAGACCAGCCTGGCCAACATGGTGAAACCCCGTCTCTACTAAAAATACAAAAAATCAGCCAGGCACCTGTGATCCCAGCTACTCAGGAGGCTGAGGCAGGAGAACTGCTTGAACCCAGGAGGTGGAGGCTGCAGTGAGCTGAGATCGTGCCACTGCACTGCAGGCTGGGCAACACAGCGGGACTCTATCTCAAAAAACAAACAAACAAAACCCTTCAAGAGTATCTACTTTCTTTTTTTTTTTTTTGAGACGGAGTCTCGCTCTGTTGCCCAGGCTGGAGTGCAGTGGCCAGATCTCAGCTCACTGCAAGCTCCGCCTCCCGGGTTCATGCCATTCTCCTGCCTCAGCCTCCCGAGTAGCTGGGACTACAGGCGCCCGCCACCTCGCCCGGCTAGTTTTTTGTATTTTTTTAGTAGAGACGGGGTTTCACCGTGTTAGCCAGGATGGTCTTGATCTCCTGACCTCGTGATCCGCCCGTCTCGGCCTCCCAAAGTGCTGGGATTACAGGCTTGAGCCACCGCGCCCGGCTACTTTTTTTTTTTAATTAGACAGTGACAAATAACATAAAAAAATTAATAGTAAGGGAATAAAGGATATGTGAGTAACTCAATGTTCTCAGGTGACAATCAAATGAAATGAGGAGAAAAATGTTCTAGGTTGAAGGTGGCAAATGCAAAGGCCCTAAGGCAAAAACATGCTTCTTTCTATATCTATGCTCAAATTCTAGCCCGTGCTATTCTGCACATAATAAATTTAATAACTGAGTAGTAAGTAATCGAGCACTGGGCTAGACCCTTGCTGTAACAGAAAACAGCAAGGTTGCTAACCCCAAGAAAAGTACAGCCTTTTAACCAATTTTTCTGTCTCATGCCCCTTTGCAAGTAGACTGTTCAAAGACGTAAAATCTACCCTCCACCCAAGAAATGAAAATGAAGTAGCTAACTGGTCAGGCTGTTTTAAAACCTTTTTTTTTTTTTTCTTTTGAAGAAGGAGTCTCGGCCGTGCGCAGTGGCTCAAGCCTATAATCCCAGCACTTTGGGAGGCCGAGGCAGGCGGATCACCTGAGGTCAGAAGTTCGAGACCAGCCTGACCAACATGGAGAGCCCCCCCCCCCCACCATCTCTACTAAAAATACAAAATTAGCCGGGTGTAGCGGCACATGCCTGTAATCCCAGCTACTAGGGAGGCTGAAGCAGGAGAATTGCTTGAACCTGGGAGGTGGAGGTTGTGGTGAGCTGAGATCACGCCATTGCACTCCAGCCTGGGAAACAAGAGCAAAATTCCATCACAAAAAAAAAAAAAAAAAAAAAAAGGGAGTCACCCAGGGTGGAGGGCAGTGGCGCCATCTCTCGGTTCACTGCAACCTCCACATCCTGGGTTCAAGCGCTTCTCCTGCCTAAGCCTCCCAGGTAGCTCGCCACTACGCCCAACTAATTTTTGTATTTTCAGTAGAGGCAAGGTTTCACCATGTTGCCCAGGCTGGTCTCAAACTCCTGACCTCAAGTGATCCACTCACCTCGGCCTCCCAAAGTGCTGGTATTACAGAGGTGCACCACTGCGCCCAGCCTGTCTTAAAACTTTTTATCCCACCTCAGTACACCTGGGGCATTTGACAGTGACTTTGCATCGGTTCTGCATCGGTTCACTATAGCGTTTCTGTTGTCCATGGTGGTGGGACCCCGAATCAGCTGAGGACTTTTCTGCCCAATTACATCTGACCAGAGCTCTACCATGGACATAGAGTCAGAATCTTCAGATAAAAATGTAGCTGGAATATAAATCCTAAAAATGCTTCTCAATCGTTCTGACCAACCAGCATAACATACACACATCAACTTTCTCTGCACTAAATTACATGTGAGACTCCGATGCAGAAAACCACCTTTTTGTTGTGCAAATATTGTTGGCATAGAAACCAAACACTAATTATCAAATGCCAAACACACTTAAATCGATGGCTATATACACATAATTTGTATTGGTTGCAACTATCCAATATATTAACTGGGCCAGGAGATGATTTTATTCTTAATTTCTTATTTTTCAGTGACAGGGTCTCCCTGGCACCCAGCCTGTGGTACAGTGGTGCAGTCAATGCAGCCTGGAACTCCTGGGCTCAAGCCGTACTTCCAAGTCTTTGTCTGGGATATGGTATTCATTTACAAAGAGCAGTCTGAGAAAAACTACTTCGTCATTTTGAGTCTTTTGTGAAATTTCTACACAAAATGCAGCCAACACCGCTTTGTCCTCAAAAACCCCAGAAGAATATTTTAAGTATTATCTTAAACAGACTTACCTGGATTTTGATCTTGATCGAGAATGGGATTCAGAGTGTTTGGAAACCCTCGATGGACTACGAGATCCTGACCTGCTCTCCGATTTTACACGAGCAGGAGTTCCCGTTGGAGATTTTGACTGAGAGCGAGACTCCTAACAAAGAAGACAGTATTACAAATGGCACTGGTCATGTAGATGCCTAACACCTAACATTTAAAGTACCGTAATTATTTATATTGATTGCTCCTGAAAAACAAATGGTTAGGCAACACCCTCCAGAAAAAATTTCAGCTCAATAATAACCCATTGTTAATACTGCTAACTGTCCTCAATAATTCCCTACTTGAACCAGATCACCAATTCTCTATTAACTAAGTAATCATGCAAATTCATCTACAACTTGATCATACAGACACTGGAACATAAACCATACATTTACTTAACCTAGGACCCATTCATTCTTCCAGATTCTTTTAATTCTACTTCACTCTTGCTTTCTACTTCTCTTCATTCTTCATTGAGTTTTTCATTTTTCATACTTCGTGTATTCTTCCCCAATTCAAACAATTCAAAATAGCCTTAAAAAAAATTCAAGTGCTTCTATCTGACCAATCTTCTGTTCAATTTTTTCCCCCATTCAATTTTAATTTTCTGATCTTTAATACTTTTCATTAGCCTTCTTTTATCTTGATTTATCTTCCACATTCTTGGAAAAAACTCTTCAATTTCTTCACGAACATTAACCTTAATGGAAAAAGAACATTTAGTATATTTAAGCACGTGGGGATTATAAAACTCTGCTGGAGTTCAGAATGTTATCTACCAAATGGAAAAGCCAGCAGGTAAAGTGCAAGTAACTAATTTAAAAAAAAAAAAAAAAGAAAAAAAAAACAATTTTATAGTCTTTAAAATTGTTCAAAACTCTAGTTTCTAACAGAGAAGTTACTAAATTTCTCTAAATGTTTTTTTAACCATACTCTTCACCCTCCTCCCATGTTTCATTCTAGTTCCTAAAATGTGAGCAATTTTAATATAAATAATCCAAACATAAATCTAACAACTATAATTTCCCCCCACCTGTTAAATTTTCACTATTTTATAATCTGAAGATTCTTAAAACAAGCTTTCACTAAGTTATGCTAAGAAATCAAGATATAGTTAGAGTAAGGCATCCCAGGCTGAAATATTTGTACACACCTATCTAAACTCACCCATAGCACGTATCAAAGTTCAAATAAGTCAAAAAGAAAAAAATCAGTAAAATTACACCTTCTTTCAACTTTGACCACTATCTTTGTTCATTCTGACTTAAAATATGTTCTGAAGACAAACAAGCATACTGAAAAAACTAATAGGCATCAAAGTCTTAAAATTTCCCCATTAGCTTATTAATTCCTGATATATACATTTTTGCAACCATATCACTTTAAAATGCTCTATTATCCATGAAATACCACAATGTGCAAGAAGGTACAAAATGTATATCATGGTCTTTATCTTTGATTCCACCTGTTTTGTTCAGTTTTTACATAATTTATGCATTTATGTATGCTGGCACTCCCTTCAGTGACTATATCCTATATCCAAAAAGTGATGGCTTTCTGAAAAAATTGGATGTAAATCAAAGCATTCGAAATAATATAACTTACTGATCATAAGCTTTCTTTTTTTTTTTCTTTTAAACAGATATGAGGCACTCATGATCAAAACAGGATAGACAGTTTGGTTTCCGTCCAGTTAAGCCTTGATTATCAGTGTAAATAATTATCTCCATTTCACAGAAGTAATTTCATACCAATTTATTTATGCCTTAAGACTATCACACAACTCAAACAGCTTTCTGAAAATGTTTCCTTTGCTTCAAGTTTAATGTCAAGACTTATTTATCAAAACTGAAATACACAGCTACCTTTCCGCTCAATACCAACCTTTCCTATTTAGCTACCTACAAGTCTTTCACTGCATCTCAGATACTCTAAACTACTGAACAGATGTCTGCAGCAGGCACAGCAATCTGGGCTTTTTCAGTCACTGAAACTATGAAAACAGCATATTCAGTATCTTATTTAAAAAAAAAAAGGCATGGCTAATTTGCTTGTAATTTAAGTTTCACAGACTGGTTCATTAACCACATAGATAAGAGCATCTCATACTCCCCTCTTCTCTTTTGGCTTCCCTTTCTACAAAATAGACCTTATGACATAACATTCATTTATGCTACTGTTGAATAGCAATAGCTGGATTATCATCTACGAAAGTTGCTACCGTCCTTCTTATATATACACGGGAGGCTTTCCTCTGTAAAACACTACAATCCTTTAATTTTACTAGGATGGAAATAAAAACCTTTTATTAAAGTAAACAAAATAATTCAGTAACATCTTAAAATTCAAATTTTAAATCCCAGTTTTGGAGTAGCAGCAAAGCATTACGGTATGATAGAATGTCTTTTTAAGAGACGTTAGCTTATTTATTTTGAGACGGAGGAGTCTCATTCTGTCACCCAAGCTGGAGTGTAGTGGTGCCATCTAAGCTCACTGCAACCTCCACCTTCTGGGTTCAAGTGATTCTCCTGCCTCAGCCTCCTGAGTAGCTGGAATTACAGGCATGCACCACCTTGCCCGGTTAATTTTTGTATTTTTAGGAGAGATGGGGTTTTCCCATGTTGGCCAGGCTGGTCTCAAACTCCTGACCTCTAGTGATCGGCCCGCCTCGGCCTCCCAAAGTGTGGGATTACAGGTGTGAGCCACCATGCCCGGTCAACATTAGATTTATTTTAAAAGAAGCTTTGCTTTTTATTATCAAAGGTGTCACAAATACCTAACCTCCTTTGTTGTCTGCCCTTCTCTCTCTTTATCTCAGAGGAAATCTCAAGTCTGCATAAATTTCTTCATGGAAACATCTAAGTTTAAAACAGTCCTCTTCTTCCTAGCTACGAAGTTGTCACCATGATTTTTTTTTTTTTTTTTTTTTGAGATGGAGTCTCGCTCTGTAGCCCAGGCTGGAGTGCAGTGGCACAAGATCTCGGCTCACTGCAACCTCCGCCTCCCGGGTTCAAGCGATTCTCCTGCCTTAGCCTCCTGCGTAGCTCGGATTACAGGTGCGCGCCACCACACCCAGCTAATTTTTGTGTTTTTAATAGAGACAGGGTTTCACTACGTTGGCCAGGCTGGTCTCGATCTCCTGACCCCTTGATCTGCCTGCCTTGGCCTCCCCAAGTGCTGGGATTACAGGCGTGAGCCACCACACCCGGCTTCATTTTAACTTTCAAAAACAATTTACACACTTAATTAACAAATCAGTCAGTAACACTGTTAGTAAACTTAACTGGAAGAATAAACTGCCAAGTATATAATTATTTAGAAATAAAGTAACATTTCTCAAAAGCTGTTACCAAATAAATGCCACTTTCATGGAACTCTACATTAGGAATCAAGCTATAAGAAGTCCTTTATATAAAGAGGATAAATGCTAGACTAATCCTTTTCTCTCTGACTTGTCTTCATTATGAAATAATTTCAACTTTTTCTCAAAGAAATTCATAAAACTATCCATAATTTGGAAAATGAATTGAAATTGCAAACAAAAAAAAAATTGCTAGGAATGGGTGGTATCTGCCCTATTTCACTAGACTACTTGTTCTTAAAGCTGTCCAGTCAAAGAATCCTACATTTCCTCAGTAATCTGGCTCCTGCATCCAATAACCATTAAAAATACACTGCCCAGTTGAAATGGGCAGATTAATAACTCAACTCATATCATGAATTTTAACGGAAATCTTAAATAGACCTCCAGTCTATCTTACACGCTATAAAGCAGAAGCCAGGCAGAAAAGTTCTTTTAACAGCATAACCTGCTTAAACAGGTTTTTGTTTTGATGATTATTTGCTTGTTTAGTTTTTCTGTCACCCAGGCTGGAGTGCAATGGCACAATCTTCTCATTGCAACCTCCACCTCCTGGGGTGAAGCAATTCTGCCTCAGCCTCCCGGGTAGCTGGGAGTACAGGCACCCAACGCCGCACCCAGCTAACTTTTGTATTTTATTTTAGTAGAGATGGGGTTTCACCACATTGGCCAGGCTGGTCTCGAACTCCTGACCTCAAGTGATCCACCCGCCTCAGCCTCACAAAGTGCCGCGATTACAGGCATGAGCCACTGCACCCGGCCTGCTTGATTAAACTATTCTATTATCAAGATGCCCCTGCTGTTGGTTGAAGGAAATGGCCAAAAATTAAAAGGAGGGAACTAATACTAAGAAAGTATTACAGTGTAACCAATACAAGCTGGTCAAGAATTGTCTGTGTTAAAACAGAGTTGTATTTTACACACTGAATAACCACAATAACCACGTACTATTCTTAAATCAGGAAAAGGGTTATTATATACATGTACATACTGTTGAGGAACATGAACAATTCCTACAGCAAACAATAATTGCAGTCTTTTAATACAGCCTGTGTCATACCATAAAAAGAAATTCCAATACAATATATATATGTGCTATCCATTAAAATAAATAAACAATATAAATGCTATACTGTAACTTACTCTAACATTAAGGCCAGGCAAATTCTGTGCCATTTAAGAGTGCCAAATTTACTCAAGTCCAAGTCTATGAGTAGAAGCTTGTAAAACAAACTTACTCAAAATGTGTTTTCCTGCCACTTTATGACACTGGAGCTCTATTTCCATAGATACACACTAGTGCATTCAGGAAAATCACAAGTACCCCAAACAAAGGGAAATGTACCTAAATTATCCAAATACCTTACAATATTCATCTTACTATTTACTAAAGAAATTCTTCAAGACTTGTAAAAAACCTGTATTTACTCAACCTCAGCCTATAGAAAGAACAGTTCTGCTTCCTTCCTCTTGGGTATGGTAGAATACTTATACAGACCCCATGAAGTTAAAGCAACACTTCCATTCTCTCCTTAAACCATAACTGCTATTAGAACAAATCCCTTAAAAAGAAGATAGCAACTGCTCATATTAGTTAAATTTAAACATAATTTCCCTTCTTTTAAATGCAGCATGCCTATATGCTGCATTCTGAAGTCAATGTGGTCTTAATCTGCAAAGGCTCAAACATATTCTAATACTGTACGTTTGCTTATTCTCTGAAGTTTAGAATAGTCTTATCATAAATGATTTAGTAACTGACACCCACATATAATCAAATTTAAACTCATACCATAATTGTGAAATTACCTGTAAAATTTACAATATTTAGTACAGATTTTAAATGTGGTTCATAAGTCTCCTAGCTTATATATCATGATCAACTGTAATGTTCAAAAAGCTAATGTATAAGTGGCAATTTCAAAGGTAGAAAAAACAAGTTTGTTTTAAGGGCTAATGTGGTTTAACCATATAGCAACTAAACCCAAACTACTAAGAACCTGTTACAGCATTCTCTATGTTCTCATCTTCTGGTGTTATACAGTATTTACGAATCTTGGTAAGTCAGATGATAGGGTCCTGGTTTCAAGGAAAAATCACAACTTTTCTTCTACATATTAGTCAGGCCTAGTCACTCCATCTTTGGTGAAAGTCATGGGACAGGAAGGATTATATGTAACTATATATAGAAGTAACTTAAAAGGAGGGAAAGGAAACCATATTTCCCTTTATTATTCTCCTCTCAACTTTTCTTCAGTGTATACAATCTTTCCCTCATCTGGTTGTTACTATCTTTTTTCACCTCCATGCCTGTCTTGCTAAATTTGTGAGGACATATGAACAAATAGCAATCAGTTTTAATTCATTAGCACGTGAATACACATCTTTTAGTTATCTAATGAATGAGCACCCACTGATACTATCAAAGAAAGTTTTCTGTCAGTCAAGTTCTAAGAAACTACTATACTGATTATTGATGATATTTCACACTTGTTATGCTACATCATAGGTTAGAGTTTGGTGGATTTACAAAATTAAGCCCACAAAGTGTTTTCCAAACCACACATCCCTAAATATTTGAATCCCTGGACATTCCTTCAGATCTCAAGGTTCTATATTCCACTTAATGAGTAGTACAAAGTATAAGCCTCTATGACAGAACTGTAAAATTAGTTATGCACTGTGGGTATAATTACTTGCGCTGCTCCTTTTCAAAATCTTGCCATCTACTTATATTGAGCAGATTAGCATCCTTCAGTGAAAGAACCTCAAATATAAAAATTCGAGATTTAAATTTTTTTTTAAGTTTACAAATTATTTGCTTAAATGGAAGGGGGGAGGAGAACAATTGAAAGCATTAAAATCAGATAAATGATAGTACTTAAATTTAGGAAAACAGATTAAACCCAAGACTCTCTTAGGTTAACACTATCCCTACTATAAGAAAGCAAGCTTTACCCTTATGTAAGGTCAATTTGATGATATATGGAATTAAATTGCTAAAGATGCTGAATAAGCTAAATGCTGACATCTCTCACATTTATCTTAAAATTTCATACACAAATTTTAAGCCCAATTTAAAAGTTTTGGGTTTTTTTTTTTTTTTTTTTGAGACAGAGTCTTGCTCTGTCACCAGGCTGGAGTGCACTGTGGGGAGTGCAGTGGTCGATCTCGGCTCACTGCAACCTCCACCTCCTGGGTTCAAGTGATTCTCTACCTCAACCTCCCGAGTTGCTGGGATTACAGACACGCGCCACCACGCCCAGCTAATTTTTGTATTTTTAGTAGAGACGGGATTTCACCATATTGGCCAGGATGGTCTCCATCTCTTGACCTTGTGATCCACCCACCTCAGCCTCCCAAAGTGCTGGGATTACAGGCGTGAGCCACCGCGCGCGGCCTTGTTTTGTTTTAAACAAGCCAGTCACAGAGTTGGGTTTTGAATAAGTAGTCATCATCCCTATCATTCTCAGATTTCAGAAAAGGACCCTCCCCCCATTTCTTCTATTCTTTAACAAAAAATCTTTACACACAAAACTTTTAATTCCAAATTGGTACAGATAAATGTTTGCCTTTTTTTTTTTTTTTTTTGAGACAGAGTCTCGCTCTGTCGCCCAGACTAGAGTGCAGTGATGCGATCTCCGCTCTCTGCCTCCCGGGTTTAAGCAATTCTCCCACCTCAGCCTCCTAAGTAGCTAGGATTATAGGCATGAGCCACCCCGCCCGGCCTGTAGGAGTCTCAAAAATATTACAGCTACTCAAGAAGCCAAAACAAATCCTGAAAAGGAGGCAAGAATAAGCGGTATTTTTCCTCTTCAACTGTAGAAAACATAAATAACTCTGGAATTACAAGATAGGTCCCTAACAATAAGGAATCATTAACCTCTATTATCAACACTGGGCTGTTGTATGAAAACTGCACATTTTTATGAAGTATAATTCTTAAAATTTTAGGGGTAGAGGTGTAAAATGTTAAGAAAAGATTTCCATTGCCCTTAATTTCTATGAAGGGCATTAACAGTTTTTGAGCTCAAAATCCCAATTTTGGCTGAAGCTGTATTGAGGCAAACAACTCATTACTTTTATCAAGACATGCGAAAGCCACCGCTTAAGTGCTACTTTCACTCCCAGCTCCAAAGGACATCTCCACTTAAAATTTCTTTAATGGACCTATTTATTTATTTATTTTTGAGATAAGAGTCTCACTCTGTTGCCCAGGCTGGAGTGCAGTGGCGCAATTCCGCCTCCCAGGTTCAAGTAATTCTCCTGCCTCAGCCTCCCAAGTAGCTGGGATTACAGGCGCACGCCACCAAGCCCAGCTAATTTTGTATTTTTAGTAGAGACAGGGTTTCACCACGCTGGGCAGGCTGGTCTCGAACTCCTGACCTCAAGTAATCTACCCGCCTCGCCTCCCAAATTGTTGGGATTACAGGCGTGAGCCACTGCACCCGGCCAGAAACGATTTAAAAAGGACATCTCCAGACAAGCTTCTGGCATTGTTCTAATTCTTTAACCAATTGCAAATAAAGACAATTATCTCAACCTATAAAAACTAAAAGACAAAACATAAAAAGATACAACAGGTGAGCCTACAAGCACTCTCTGATTTCCATGAAAATACATTTGGGTACCACTTGTGAAAAAAGTCTTTCTTATGACCACAAAGGGCCGTAAGGCCCTTTATTTCTATTAAATAAATCTTTAATGCCTACATGTATTTTAGTTTAAAAGTGGGTGGGAATCTTTTTTTTTTTGGGGGGGGGGGAGAAGGGAGTCTCACTCTGTCGCCCAGGCTGGTGGGTGGGAATCTTGATATGTTACTTTCTTAGGAGGGAAAAGTGACAATTGTCGGCAACTTACTCCTTTCCTAGACTTCCTGATAAATTAAAAAAAAAAAAAAGCAAACAAGGTCCCTCTAGTAGTTCTCTTCACTCCCCACAAACCAAATCAAACATCAACCCCTCAATTTTTTTAATAATGAAAGTTAATTGAAGAAATGTATGAATGGACAGCACATTTTCTATCGACAATTACTCAACATTTTCAAAACAAGAAGCATTTTACAACTACCATCATATATGCTTATTGCATGATTTTAGAAAGTTATGTTGGGGCAATCAATATACCATCCTAAAAAATGAGCAAGTTCAATTTTCATTTGTTTCCATGCTCCAAACTTTGCCAAAAAATTCCAATCAAAAGAAAGGCAACTTCTTTAGTCTACTGGGTAACTATCACAGTCTATTGCTTTAAATCTCTTTCCTCAAAGAGAACTAAAGCCTAAACCGACCTTCTGATTTGACTTTTTGGTTCTAGATCTTTATATCATGAACTCCCAAAAAGGACAAAATTCGCCCTCCAGTACACACCTCAACTGTTTTTATGTGCTTCCCCTAGTGACTAGAATAAACATCAACACAACAGCCCGGAACGTGTTGCATGGGGCTTTTGTTTTCCTTCCAGTTTCACAGGAACTCACTTCTACAATTCCCAATGTAGGGTAAACTTTGGAAATGAAACTCACTGAAAAACGTTCCAGTACATTTAAGCTGGGTATAGCGTATTCTTTGTGATGTTTATATTTCTCTGACCCCAAATACATTAATAAAAACTTTCTTCTGAGCCCTCTTCGGTGGGGGATAGGGTGAGAAGAGAAATGGGAGAGGGCCTGTTAATTTTCAGGTCATCTTTTAAGTTACAGAACAGTACATACTGACTAGTTATCTTAATACTGAGCCAATGAATTCGTTCAGTTATGTAAGATTAAAGACAGTTTTTGTTTTTTTTCTTTTTACCGTAAAAAGCTGTATAGGAGTGGTCAGTTTTTAGATGAAAGGTCATAGGAAGAAGAGCATTAAAAAGTTCAGATATAAAGAAGAGAAAAAACCCAACATCGAGGAATTAGAAAAATAAGGCGTGAAAGCATTTCCACATTCATTTCGAAGTGAAAGCAAAAGTCGAAGGGACATTAAGGGAAAAGGGCTCCTTGCGTAGTTTTCCCCTCACAGCTCTCGTCTTAAGAACGCTTAAGGGTCGGTGCGGTCGTTGACTAACCACTTCATTAGGCTCGTCCCACCTTCAACCTCAAGGCTTTCGCCTTTATAGACGCAACGCCGCCGGTTCCAACAGAGACGCGGCCGCTCACTGCAATAGAGAGCCAAGGAGACACAGGCCCCAGCTAGTCCCACGCCAGCTTCTCCCCGCCCGGAAAACAGCCCCGCGCACTTTCGACCCCGAGACCCTCTACGATGCTCGGGGTCGCCAGAAATGCCACCGCAGGAAGCACCTACCACTATCCGGACGGAGGGGAGCTCCCTGCCGCCTCCTCCCGCCCAACCGCGACCGGGACCCACACCTCGGAGCAGACATAAGGAAGCCTCAGGGGTGGGGAGAAGGACGGGAGCAATGCGGGGGCGGGGCGGGAAGAGGACCCAGAAGTCCAGGTATCAATCAGCCTCCAAAAAAGGGGGAGGGGTGTTATCCGTGGTGTTTGGGGAAGGAGTGGAACCCAGAAGCCATCTTGGGATGGGAGGAAGCAATCGCGATGGCTCCAGAGGTTGCTCCTCGCGGGACTACCCGCAACCCCGCCCGACCGCGCTTGTTCCCGTGAAACCCCGAGCATTGGGCCGCCGCCTAGACGGCTCCCGCGGCTTTGTACTCACTCTGCCCTCGAAGTTGTTCTCCTCTACATCACTCATGTCGACGAGGCGCTCCCCAGAACTAAATAAGAGACAAGTCTCGGCTCGAGGGCCGATGGCCTAATTAACCCGCTGACTGGACCGTGGGGAAGAGGAAAGAGTCGGCAACCACAGCCGCTCCACTCCACTCCCACTCGGTCGCAGGCTCCGGCAAAATGGCGCCGGCGCCGCCAGAAATCTCCTGGCCTCCTCAGAGCACGACGTAAAGGGGGCGGGCGTATCTGTGACGTCACGAGGCCCCACCTCCCGCGAGGCTTTGTGCCGGCTGGGCGGGGCGCCAGGGTGGAGGTTAGCGGGTGGCCTGCGCTCTCAGCCTGGGCGCCTTGGAATCGCGGTCCCGTGCTGTCCTCCAAACTTCAGACTCATCTCGGACGTGTCAACCTCTTTGAAGACTTTTCAGTCACCACCAAGTGGATTCTGATGCAAGAGAACAAAACAATGGAAGCTTTTTTTATTTTTTGAGTCAGGGTCTCCCTCTGTCACCCGAGCTGGAGTGCAGTGGAGCGTTCACTGCTCACCACAGCCTCAAACTCCCGGACTCAGGCGATCCACCCACCTCAGGCTCCCGCGCGCACCACCACGCCCGGCTAATTTTTTGGGGGTGGGGGACCGAGTCTCACTCTGTTGCCCAGGCTGGAGTGCAGTGGCGCTATCATGGGGTTTTGCCATGCTGCCCAGGCTGATCTCGAATTCGCGGACTCAAGCGATCTGCTCGCCTAGGCCTCCCAAAGTGCTGAGATTACCGGTCTGAGCCACCGCGCCCGGCTGGAATCGTGTATATATAATTAACAGGCTTTTGCGGGGGACGTTGTCAGCTGACTGTATTACTTTTCTTCCCTATTTGCCCGGTGTAACGTCGCCGTAATACATGCACAGATGAGGTTATGATGCAAAGCCGCTGCTCCTTGCCTCATCCCTCCCTGCTCCAGATCCCCCTCCTAGAGACAGCCGTGTAGTCTTTTTTATAATGCTTAACTCCCTACTAGTCTTTTTGACTTAGATATTTCCATAAAGCTTCATAGTGAAGACCTCCCAAATCTGTCAACTTGGTTCCCAATCATGGTAATAATCTCTGAGATGAGTTTTCCTTGTGTAATACAACTTAAAAAAATTAGTTTCATCGTACATTTTTTTCCTACAGTGCTTTATGGTAAAAAGATTGACATGGACTTTCAACTATAGTTCTATGGTAGGAAAGTTCATCTAGCATTATTATGAAGATTGCTACCCCTGGGGGCAAGATTTCAAGGTTTGAATGTCAGTTATTGATAGTGCTAAACTTATATGACATCTGGCTCTTAGAAAAGATGTTGAACTTGGCTGGGTGGTGGCTGATGCCTGTAATCCCAGTACTTCGGAGACCCTAGACGGAAGATCGCTTGAGGCCAGAAGTTCGAAACCAGCATGGTCAACATGGTGAGCCCCATCTCTACAAAATAAATTATTATTATTATTATTATTATTATTATTGAGACGGAGACTCGCTTTGTCACCCAGGCTGCAGTGCAGTGGCGTGATCTCGGCTCACTGCAACCTCCACCTCTGGGTTCAAGTGATTCTTCTGGCTCAGATTTCCAAGTAGCTGGGATTACAGTGCGTGCCACCATGCCCGGCTAATTTTTGTATTTTTCGTAGAGACGGGGTTTCACCATGTTGGCCAGGGTGGGCTGGAACTTGTGACTTCAGATGATCTGCCCGCCTTGGCCCCTCAAAGTGCTAGGATTACAGACGTGAGCTGCCACGCCTGGCCAGGTTGATACCATTTGAACCACTGATCAATCTTAGTACCATTAAAAGTGAGATAACCAGATATAAGATACCTCATGATGTGATGCAATAGAAAATACCCAGTGCCTCCTGTGAAGTATTCCTAATCCCTCAAACTGAACTCAAATCTAATTAAGCCTTAGATCTAGCCAACAGTTTATAGGAAATACAAGAAAGGGAAAAATAAAAACACCGAGATGAAGTACAGGACAAATAACCACATTCCCCAACAGATTAAATTCACAATCAAAGATGGGAGAAAGGTAGACTCTTATGGACTAAGAGTCTTCCCCCGATCCTTTATTCCTCTTATTTATTTTTTGGAGACATAATCTGACTCTGTCACCCGGGCTGGAGTGCAGTGGCACAATCATGGCTCCAACGATCCTCCAACCACACCCTCTCAAGTAGCTGGGACTACAGGCCTCCAATACCATGCCCAGCTAATTTTTAAATTATTGTAGAGACCAGGTTTCACCCTGTTGCCCAGGCTGCTCTCAAACTCCTGGGCTCAAGTGATCCTGCCGCCTAGGCCTCCCAAAGTGTTGAGCAACCAGGCCGGGCCTAGAAGAGTAGTTTCTTTTTTCTTTGTCTTTTTTCTGAGACAGTTTCACTCCTGTGCCCAGGCTGGAGTACAGTGGCACAATCTTGGTTCACTGCAACCTCTGCCTCTCGAGATTCTTCTGCCTTAACCTCCCCAGTAGCTGAGAACACAGGTGCATGCCACTGTGCTAGGCTAATTTTTGTATTTTTTTTTGTAGAGATGGGGTTTTGATGTTGGCCAGGCTAGTCTCTAACTCCTGGCTCGAGTGATCCACCCACCTCGGTCTCCCATAGTGCTGGAATTATAGGAGATATTTGCTTTATTTTATGAGTTGTAATCCATTGCTATAATTATTTATTTTGTTGCTTGAATTGTCCCAGATTTCAGTTATAATCTTTTGATATGTTTAAACATATATAATGTCCTTTTTTGGGAATTGTCTCCATTTTTCTATTGGATTTTTATCCTTTGTCCCTCAAGTTTTATGAGTTCCTTATATATTAGGAATATTAGCCTTTTATTTGTGCTTTATGTGCAAATATTTTCTCCTAGTTTGTAAATTGTATTTGACTTTGCTTATGGTATATGTTGCATACTATTTTTTGATTTTTAATTAAATTAATTAATTAATTAATTTTACTATGGCAATAAAAGACTTCCAAACTAACATACTATTATTATTATTTTTTTTTTTTTGAGATGGAATTTCGCTCTTGTTGTCCAGGCTGGAGTGCAATGGCTCAATCTTGATTCACTGCAACCTCTGCCTCCCAAGTAGCTGGGATTACAGGCATGCACAACCACACCTAGCTAATTTTTGTATTTTTAGTAGAGATGGGTTTTCACTATGTTGACCAGGCTGGTCTCGAACTCCTGACCTCAGGTGATCCACCCCCCCCCCACCCCCCTCAGCCTCCCAAAGTGCTGGGATTACAGGCGTGAGCCACCGTGCCCGGCCACTACTTTCTTTTCTTTTTTTTTTTTTTTGAGATGGAAACTCACTCTGTTGCCCAGGCTGGAGTATAGTGGCGCAATCTCGTCTCACTGCAACCTCCACCTCCCAGGTTCAAGCGATTCTCCTGCCTCAGCCTCCTGAGTAGCTGGGATTACAGGCGAGGGCCACCATGCCCGGCTAATTTTTGTATTTTTAGTAGAGACGGGGTTTCACCATATTGGTTAGGCTGGTCTCAAACTTCTGACTTTGTGATCTGCCTGCCTCGGCCTCCCAAAGTGCTGGGATTACAGGCGTGAGCCACCGTACCTGGCTGCCCCTGGATTTTAAGTCATAGTTAGCCTTTTTTTCATACTGAGGTTAAAAAGGACTTCACTATGTTTTCTTCTAGTAGTTATGTAGCTTCATATTTTACATTTAGATTCTTGATCCATTTGGCATTTATTCTTATGTATGATGTGAACTATAGATCTAATTTTACCTTCTCCAAATGGCTACCCTGTGATCCCAGCATTAAAAAGCCCATCTTTGCTTTTTAGATGTCACCTTTATCATATACTACATTTTCTTATGGAGTTGAGTCCATTTTTGGGTTTTCTGTTTCCCTAGTCATGCACCAGTAGTGCCACACTGTTTTAATACAGAGGCTTTCAAATTTTTGTTTGTTTTTTTGTTTGAGATGGAGTCTCACTCTGTCACCAGGCTGGAGTGCAGTGGCGCAATCTTGACTCACTGCAACCTCCGCCTCCCGGTTTCAATCGATCCTCCTGCCTCAGCCTCCCGAGTATCTGAGACTACAGGTGCTCACCACCATGCCCAGCTAATTTTTTGTAATTTTAGTAAAGACAGGGCTTCACCATGTTGGTCAGGCTGGTCTCAATCTCTTGACTTCATGATCCACCCGCCTCAGCCTCCCAAAGTGCTGGGATTACAGGTGTGAGCCACCACGCCCAGCTCAAATTTTTATGTCTGATTGGGCAAGTCCCCCTTCCTATATATTTTTAAGTAAGTCTCATTGCTTAGTAGCCACAATTCATTTTAAAAATCTTATTTTGTTTTATTTATTTTCGA